CCTATTCCCCATAGTAGTGGCTCCTAAGCAGGCTCCACGAAAGAGGGCGGGTAATGAATCTGAACACGGCGGACTCAGCCGCGAGTCGGTTCCCCAGGCGGCTCCCTTCGCGCACCTGCGCGGTGTCTGGGGTTCGACGGCGTTCGGGTGCAGTGCTGGCTCTGCCAGAGAAGGTTCCCGCGTCTCTTTAAAGGTTGACCAACTCCAAGAAGTTTGGTCGCGCAGAGCTCGTTGCCAGTTTCATGGTGTGAGGTTTTCAGTAACCCATGTGAATTCCATGCGCGTTGCTCATTGCTCATTGCTCATTGCTCCTTCTTCTTCTCCTTCCCCTCCTCTTACCCCCCTACTCTCTCGACTCTCGACCCCTACTACCTCTGATGCTACCCTTGTTGCCCCTCTTGTTCCAGCCAGTCACGGGTGTTATCGCGAACGGCAAGACCACAGGCTCCTGGTGTCAAGGGGGTTGTCGGGCTTACGGCCGCCTCCAGAGAGTGGCGAAGAAGCCGTCCAGAGAGTCTGAAGCCATCGTTTTTTTTTCTCAAGGCGTCCAGGCCGCCTCGCGAAGTCTGAGAGTGTCCAGGATGCCACCAGGTATTATTGTCCTATCGCTGTCAATCGGGCGGGGCTTGGACGAGGATCGATATGTTCCAGAGCGTTGTGGAACGCTTTCGAGCGTTCCGCAACGCTCTGAGAACGCCGCGATGTCCGATACATCGTCCAGGGCCGCCAGATCTCAGATATTCTCGATGTATTCTTCCCCGAATTCATCCTCGTCCTGGCTTCGTTTTATTCAAGTGGCACTTCCCACTTTGATGTCGGAGCGCGTGTGGTGAGCCAGGAGCTATCGAATCCGAACGTTTTCAGTGGGCACTTCCGACTTCGATACTGGAGCGGGAGTGTTCAGGCACGAGGTGACTGCCAATGCGATTGAGCCGGTGCTTCGTGCGATGGAGAGGCGAGGTGGGCGCGGCTCTGAGGAGGCGCCGACACCCCCAGACGGAATGGCCATTTTTGGTGATACCTTATCGCGAGCGCCTCCGAGTAAGGCCACCATCAGCTTTTTGGGTCGGTAGATATATGGCAAGATTGGCTTGCCTCCCCATGCCCCAGAGTTCCCAGTAGCATCGACCCCCGGCATAACTTGGTCCTCGGTGATGGTCTCCGCTGGTGCCAGAACTGGTGGGCTACAGGCACGGGGGGGATAGAGTAGTTTCCAGGGGTAAGACGGTGATCGAGGCCCTTGCCGCTGGGAGGCGCCCGTCGGGTTTCGAGGCCTGGCCCGAGCCTGACGTCCATGTTTTGGTTTCGGCATGCCCGTCTGAGGGATCTGTCGCTGGAGTTTTGGACGCTGCAGGAGAAGCACCAGGATTAGATGTTGGACGAGGAGGGGGAGGACGACCAGTGTGAACCCACGGCTCGTCAACGATGTTGGAAAACACTCTCTCCAAGCTCCCTCTTCATATGCCCTTATAACGGATGGTGTAGTTCCACTGACGGAAGTACCCCGTTGGTGGGGACAGCCAGGTGAAAATCTTGAAGCGTGCCGAAACACCATGGCCAGGATTCCAACGCCACGAACCAGCCTAACTCTTGCGCCCTGACGGTCCTGAATCGCGCCAGAACGCCATTCTTGGGACTCCAACGCCGCGAATCTACGTTGACTCTTGCGCCTTCACGATCCTGAGTCGTGCCAGAACGCCACTCCTGGGATTCCAACACCGCGAGTCTACGTGACTGGTCCGCCCTCACCATTCCTGACATGTGAGCCATGAGAACCAGTGAAACTTTTGCAAATGTTTACAGATGAATGGCTCCTAAGTGGTGAGGAAGGACGAAGCGAAACGCCCGGCCCATCCCTTCCGCATGGCCTCGGGGTGCGAAAAGGGTGAGTTCTAAGCCTCCTAGATGGGGTCGGAGTAGATGGGGTCGGAGGATAGCGCCGCATCGCCGATGCATCGCCGATGCCGCTCGATGTGGAGTCCGATGTGCTTCACGTCGACGTCGCCGATGCATCGCCCACGTCGACGATGCATCGCTGGTGCATCGCCGATGCATCGCCTAAGCATCGCCGAAGCATCGCCGATGCGGCGCGATCCTCCGAGCCCATCTACTCCGACCCCAGCTGGGAGGCCTCTAGGAGTGATTCATAAGAGAAGGAATGGAGGAGGAGGAGAGGGAGAAGGAGGAGGAAGGAATGGAGTGGAGGACTGGAGGAGGAAGGAGACGAGGAGAGGAATGGAGGAGTGGAGGAGAGGGAGGAGGAGGACGCGGAGGAGCGGGAGGCGCACGCGGGAGGCAGGAGGCCGAGCGCCGGCGGGAGGGCGAGGGCGAGGCAGGGGGGCGGCGTGCCCCCTCCTCCTCCTCCTCCTCCCTCCTCCTCCCTCTCCTCCTCCTCCTCCTCCTCCTCCTCCACCTCCTCCTCCTCCTCCTCCTCCCCTCCTCCTCCTCCTCCTCCTCCTCCACCTCCTCCTCCTCCTCCTCCTCCTCCTCCCTCCTCCTCCTCCTCCTCCTCCTCCACCTCCTCCTCCTCCTCCGCCTCCTCCTCCTCCTCGTGCCGGACGTGGCCGAGAGGCGACCGGGAACCAGCGAAATGCCGACGGCCGATGTCGTACACTCGGGGGTGGGCAGGCCTCCGACCCTGACACGTTCTGAGGCATGTAGTGTCGCAGGCTTCGTTCACTCAGGTTGTCAGCATTCAAGACTTTGAGCACGACGTGACTTACCAGAACGGGATGGCCAATTCGACGCAGGCCTGGGAACCCTATGACCAACCCGCCAAAGAGTGTTGCAACAGGAGTGTCGGGTCATCCTCGGGGGTGGACAGACCTCTTACCCTGAGACGTCGATTAGCGAATCTGCCGTCTTCGGTTCGCGAGAGGGCGTCGCGGCCGCGATTGTTGCGGGTCCAGGTCCGTCGGTTTTGGTCCCAGGCCGTTTTCACTAAAGGGAGGTTTATGAAAGGGAGGTTTGTCCACCGCCGAGTACACATGCAGGATGGAAAATTCGGTGTCGGTTAACTGATTCACATCCCATCTCCATCCCCTTCCAGACCCCCAGCAAATGACCACCCCAGTTGGGGATGCACCCGTCGAAACCCGAAGCGAACGACTTCTGTCCCCATCTAGGGGGGTAGATCGGCCAGTGGGGCCTAGGCCACGCCGCTGGGGATGGGGATCGGTTAAACGATACTCAAACATAGAAGCATATACAAACCACCGTCGATTCCCAGGAGCATGTGGTGAGACATACGGGAAGCGGAGGGGACGACGAACCTATCCATTCTGCAGGCGTTATGTGTATAGACATACGTGCACATACAGATCTTGAGGAATATGGGGAAGCCTGGGCTGTGTGTCTATTTGTGTGTGTGTGTGTGTGTGTATGTGTGTGTGTGTGTGTGTGTGTGTCCCTGGACGCCTGCATCCGTATCCTCGGCCTCGCGGTCGGCCGCGGCCCCATGGCTGCAGGGCGCGCTCTGCGCGGGTGCCCCCGCGCGCGGCGCGCGGTCCGCCGGGCCGCGCACCCGCGGGGTCGCTCCTCGGTGCCCCGGCCGCGAGGGCGCGGACGTGGACATGTTGACTCTGATGGGCATTTCTCCCACCACCACCACCACCATAGGTTGGAGGGGGGGATGAGGAGGAGGAGGAGGAGGAGGAGGAATAATAATAATAACAACAATAATAATCATACTTGGAATAATAATAATGATAATAATAATACTAGGGGTAATAATAATAAACATAATAATACTAATAATAAAAAGAATAATAACAAGAAGACTAAGAAGACGAATAATAATCATAAGACTACTAATAACAATATTAATAAGAATAATACGAATAAGAAGAATACTAATACCACTACTAATAGTAATAATGAAATAAGAAGACGGATCATAATATTAATACTAATATTATGAGAAGAAACATAATAATAAGATGGGGAGGACAACCCCCCTCCCCTCTCCAACCTGTGGTGGTGGTGGTGGTGTTGGTGGAAATCAGGCCCATCAGACTCGCCCGTCGCTCCCAGGTCGCCTTCGGGGGCGCCAAGCCGATCGCGCGTCCCGCGCCGCGGTCTGGGTCGGAGCGGCCGCCCCTCGGGGCGGCGCGTGGGCGCGAAGGGTGGCGGCGCGTCGCGCAGCGCGGGGCGCGGTGCGCGAAGCCAGGCGGTCCAGTCCATGGCCCTCTCCTCGCCATCCCCCTGCTGATGGGACCCTAGCTGATTCTAAAACCCCCCCTTTGCTATCCCCCCCTTTTCGCCCGGCCCGATAGTGCTTCAACAAGGCCGCCGACAAAAGTGATTACCTACCCCCTATTGGGGGTGGTGGTCCGGAAGCCGTTCAGGGTTGGGCGACCCAATCTATGGTCCTCAACGAAGAGTTACTCACTCCCTATTGACGGGGGGGGGTCCAAAGACTTTTCAGGGCTACGCGACCCAATCCATGGTCCTCTCCTCGCCGTCCCCTTCTTGGTGGGCCCCCAGTCCTCAACAAATGATTAGGTACCCCTTATTGGGGGGGTCCGAAGACTTGTCAGGGTTAGGCGACCCAATAGATGGTCCTTTCCTCGCCGTCCTCCTACTGGATGGACCCCAGTCCTTCAACAAGGCCGCGGAGAAAATACATATCCCGTATTTTTGTTGGAGGGGTTCTGGAGATTTTTCATGGTTAGGCCACCCAATCCGTGGTCCTCCCCTCGCAATCCCCCTACTCGGTGGGGCCCCAGTCCTTCAACGAGACCGCCGAGAACAAAAACTCGTTGCCCCTCCCACTGGGAGATCTTTTCCAGGGCTCGGCCGCCCAGTCCGTGGTCCTCCCTTCGCCATCCCCCCCATCGCCATCCCCTCTCCTCTCCTCTC